ATACGGAGCTGTCAGCAGCAGGCATGGGCGCACAGATGGGTGGGAAGGCAGCGCTGAGCTCGCAGCGTTTGCTCTGCTGGGCGGGCTGGTGAGCAGAGAAGCGGCAGTGCCTGTGCGAGGGGTCTGCCTGTGTTGCCTTTGATTTAGGAGATTGTACATTATCGAGCTGTTTAATTCGTAGGCCAGGGGTATGGCCATGGAACAGGAGACCCACGTGAAAATTCTAAAATGTCATCTTCTGGAGTCCAGTTTGAAACAAAAGCCAGTCTGCTTTCCTGCTCCTGTAACAAATAAATCCCAGCCCTGCTTGCCAGGGAATGCATTTGATGGAGTCCAAAGGTCAAGCCACCGTTGCAGAGTGAGGCCCAGGCACCAGGAGGCAGAGGAATGCTGCAGGTGGTTGTGATTGTCATCGGCACAGTGCAGACCCATTGCAGCTGCGTGGGCTGAAAACTTTGGCTGCAAACAGCAGCTGTCATTGCTCCCCTTGCTGGCAGCAAGGCACTTCTGGCAGGGACAAGTTTCTCAACCCAGAGCTGTCATCTTCTGTGCTGCCTCCAAAGGATGCCACTGCTCTCACCAGTGTACCCAGACTGCCCAAGCTGCTTTGACTCCACATTTTTTCTGGAGCTCGCTACAAACGATTCCAGTAGCAGAGGAGCACTGATGGTGTGCGTGTGTGATGTTTTTTCCAGTAATGTTCTTGACTTGTAGACCGTTAATTCAGTAGGGTATGGAGTGAGTGTCATCACTCACCACAGACTTGTTGGATGACCTCAGGCTTGTTAGATCCCATCTCTGAAACTGTGTCTGTGAGTGTGGTGGTTTTGCGTGCTTGAAGTGCTTGCTCTTCACTTACAGACACAATCATGCCCGTCAGTGCTCCCTTTTGCAAGTTTGTACCCTCTCTGAATTTACCATAAATTGTCTCCTCACTGGGAGCAAGTAAAAGGAATGCCTTCAGAGTTCAGATTCACAAACATTATCCTTGCACAGAGTGTAAGTTTTTCTTGTCTTTGCTCAGCTTCAGGAGATGCCCATATTAGACACCAAAGCAAGGGAGAAGACGACTTGGCTGTGGCGAGAAGGGATCAGTAGGTAACTTTACATAAACTAGTTACCGCTGGCATTGCAGCTCTTTCTGTGATTATGGCTGTGTGTGTCATTGCAGCTGAATTTTCTCCAGGGAGCCCCACCTTGGAGCAGAGGAAGTGCCTGTAGACAGTTCCTTTAAAAGAAAAAAAAACCCCAAAAGTCACAAATGCAGATGTTGCTAAAAATGCAGATTGCATCAAACATCTGAGATGGAGCGCGTTCCCACGCTTTGTTTGTTTTTCTCCTTGTGCTGTTTCTTAAGTTGCAAAAGTGCTGAGTGGCAAGAGGTGGCCTTTCTTGGAGAACCACTTCCCTTTTCTCTCCCTACCCTCAGTGTTGTCACCTCTTGTTGACAGTATTACAGAGCCCTTTTCGGTAAGTCGTGGCCCTTGTTTTGCTCTGCACTGGGTTTGTTGCTATTTTGGATGTCAGAGAAGCCTAGACTTGTCTGTGTGCACTGCCAGCTGACCCTGTTAATACACATGTCACTGTAGAGCAATCCTGAGTTATCCTTGCCTTTTCCATTTCCCTGTTGTTGTGGTGACTTTTTGTTCACTGTGTTTTGTTTTGGTTTGTTGTTTTTTTTTTTTTATTAGTGACTGGTACTACTTTGCTTTACACGCCCTGAGATGTGGCCTCTGCATGAAGAGAACCAGGTGCCTTCATCACTTGCCTAGGAGCAAAGGCTTAAACTGGAAGCCAAACATTCCTCTCCTCTGTATAATTCATTAATACTGTTGGCAGTTATTAAACCACATGTTTTAAAAAGTAAGCAAGGGAAATAGGGATGTTGTTTATGGAAAAACAAACTACAGTGAAGGTGAAAGAGGCACTTCCTTAGGGAGAGATGCTGAGGTCTGTGATGCTCTTGTCTGGTGGTTTGATGGAGAAATGCCTTTGCCTGGCTGCATGGGCATCCAGCTGGGTACCCAGCCACTGTTGCACCCTTGGCATGGGGAGTGATGCTTTATTAACCAGGACTTTCCTTGTGGCCAGGTAAAGTGAGGAGGAGGCTGGTGTCAAGAGCTGTCCTGGAGGGAGGTGTGATGCTGTGCCCCGGGCCTGCCTGCAGAGGAAGGGAAACAGCCAGTTTGGGAAGGAGAGCAGGAAGAGGGAGGGAAATGGCTTGAGGTGCTGAGAAAAACAGCAGGCTGCTTGGCCTGCCCTCCTGTAACTTTTTCCACACCAGGCACAGCAAGCTGCAGTTGGAATTGCTGCTCTTGCAGGGTGAGTCCTGGCGTGCTACAAGAGCTTGCTCTCATGTCCCCAGCTGCCCTCCCTTCACGCCTGGCTCCAGTGGCCTCGGGAATGAGCTAAGTATTGACGCCTGTTATGCCACTCCTGCCAGCATCTGAATTTTGGTCTCTCTTTTGGGGTTGTGTTTTGCAGCCTATGAATTAAAGGAGGATGATAGAGCTGAGCTGGCAGCAGATGAGATGTGCAGTGCAGAGATGTGTACTCCCCCCTGCACCACACTCCAGCTGCTCGTGTTAGAGCAAAAACATCGGGGGGCTCCTGAGGGAGCAACCTGACTTTAAACTGAGGGAAAGGAGCTGGACATGCAAGATTTTTCCTCACTTCCTGGTAGACACCCTTCTGCAGCGTGTCTGTTCCCTGTCCTACGCCTGTTTAGCTGCTGGCTCTTCAGGTGGGGGCTGCCTTTCAGTGCACACGTGAGCGGCGTTTGGTAGAGCTGGCTCCCAGCTGAAATCCCCAGCACTTCAGTACAGATGTCTGCATTGACACTTCCCATTTTCAGGGTTTGGGCTGCTAAATGCTCCCAGTTGGTCAACACCAGTGTTAACTTGTCATTCCTTATTGTCAGACTTGTCTGCCTGCTTTAGGTCAGTGTTTCTGCTTTTCTTTTGTTTGCCTTTGTAGGTCTAGCAGGCTGCTGGAAGGGAAGGGTAAGTCCTGCAGATGGGTTGGAAACTTGAAGCACTTCCTGGCTGTGCACAGTCCTGCTGGGCAGCTGCTTGTGTTTGCAAAGCTTGTGCTGGGTGGTGGTTGTGTCCCAAGAGAAACCCTTTAGGAAAACCTCCTTCTGCTCAGAAGTTGGAAGCCCCCATGGTTTACTGCACAACACTCCTGTTCCATGGGGAGCCACAGCTGGAGCTGGGCTTGGTGTTGAAATCCCAGTGCAGCCTGCTGGTGCTGAGCTGTAGCTTGCCAACTGTTAGGATGCTGTTCCAGAGCATTTTTCTGCAGGGTTCTAGTTAATAGATACCTGAGGCTGACAGAGAAATTATGTTTGCATTTCTGTAAATAATACAGGTAATGAGCTTTTATTCAAATATCAGATATATTGAAATCTTCATGTCCTCTATCCTGTCACTTTTTAATCTCCTCCTTTCTTCTAAGGACATGGGGCAATAGAAGAAGACAGGAGGATGTGACCTCCCTGCAGTGCCCGTGTTGCTGCCGGTGCGTGCTACGGGCACGGCTGGTGAGGAGGTGCCAGGAGCTGAGCCGTTCTGTGCCGTTGTGCAGGGTGATGTGGTGGGAGGACTTCTGCTGAACCTTCCAGGGGATGGTGCCAGCTCTGTCAGTTGTGCTACTTGGCAGGTGCCCAACTAAGGGCTGGGCTGGACAGGACAGAGCTTGCTGTAAAGGAGCTGCTCCAGTGAGTAAGTAGAGCTGACTGGAAAGTCATCCTCAGGCTCCCAATAACTTAATTAAGTGCTTATTAGGATAAAACATTGCCAGAAGCTGTTCAGGTGCCTCTTTGCTTTCCTTCTAAAAAGGTTTTCTCTCCTTTCTTTATGAAAAAGTTTCTAAAAAAGACTACATAGTTCCTTTCTGAATATTATACACAGAGGACTGAGAATTTTTCATAGAAAACTGGAGGGTGGTGCAGACTCACCTACCTCCCGGCTGGTGGTGCAGCCCCTTAGGTGGAAGGCATCGTCCAAGGGGGTAGTGGCAAAGCATCAGATGATTCATGTTACCACGTTGCTACCAGGAACATTTTCTTTTGTGTCATCAAAACAGTTTATTTGGTGTTTGTGCTTGCAATTTATGAACAGAGTTGTGCAGGGTAACAGCTAGGAAGGCATTCACTATTGAATATATATATATATATATACACACACAGGTTTGCCACCTGTAAGTTTTATGTGGTTCCCCAATTTTGTAGCATAATAAGAATTTGGTATGAAGCAGGCAGTGTTTTCCTTGTGCACAAGGAGCTCAGCCATGGGATGGCAAGTGAGGGAGCATGGGACTCACTTCTGTTCTGTGCTCTTACTGATGTTTAGAAATCTTCTGGGGGGAATGCCTGCTTTTCGTGCAGAAGGCTTTAAACAGTTTTGATCATGTGCCTTGTACAATTTCTACAAAATCTTTTCTGCCTGGGAGAAAAATTGGTACAAGTAGTAATTTCTGTAGGAGTTGCTTAAGTCTTCCGCTTCCCGCTTATGTTGGTTCTCTTCCCAGTGAGCGGTGAATTACAAATAGCACATCACTGGTGGCCTTAAGGTTGCTATTTTACTTCCAAGGTGAATGGGCTAAACTTGGAACAGAAGCTGCTTTTTTAACAGCTGTAGTGCTGAGGGTTGCTTATAGCTTTAATAACTGTTTCACAGATACATCCCAGTAAGTCTTCTCCAGGAGAAAGCCACTCTGTACTACAGAGTACTGGTGACAAGCCTGGTGTGCTGATAAAATACAACTCAGCTTTGTTACCTCTGCCAAGTTGGCTCCCTGTCTTCTGCCCTGGACTCAGCTTTTCCCTTAACCACATTTAGTGTCTTTTAATACCCGGTCCATTTCCAGGAGATTGTTTCAGAGAGCACTGAAGCTCCAGTAGGCTCTGTCGAAGCAGATTTTATGAAGTATTTCAAAGCCCAGGTTATGCCTGGGAGCCATTAAGTTCTCAGCAGGAAAAATCAGTAGCCGATAGTAGCATGGCTCTGCTGCTGTGGTGAGTGCAGTCCCGCATCATGAGAGTTGTTTTGAGCCTCTGAGTGCCATTTTCACACACATCTTTTCCACCTTTCCTGTTTCTGAAGCATCTCAGAGTGGGGACTACTGTTAGCATCCTATAGGAGGTATCTTTGCTCCTTATATATCAGGGACAGTATCCAAAGGTTATCTTGCCCTGAAATATGATACTTTTTGGGAAAGATCACAGCTAGGACTATCCAGGCAGGATGGACCCAAATGGAGCAGCCGGCTGTGGGTGGTATAGGGGATGTCAGGGTAGTGATTGCTTTTTTTGTCCCTGTAGTAAGTACATCACAGACACCAAAATGAGCATCTCCCTAAAGAATGGTGTTAAACTTCACTGTTAGGACTTTCCTATAAACTTTCCTGCGTTTCCTCTCAAGATTTTCTTTCCTGCTTGAATCTCAGAGCAAGGGCATGGTTGTGTGTGTATTATGGGTTTTTTTGCTAGGGTGCTATGCTGGATACTGATGTGTCTGGGGGTCGGGGTTCAGGGCAGGTGATGCCAGAATGCCAGTTGTGTGCTGTGCCCTCATCTGCACAGCAAGAGTCCCCGGAGCTGTAACAAGTAGAAGGACGAGGCTCTTGTCTCCTCTAATCTGCTCTTTTTGCAGCAGTGCTGATGGCCATCTCCTGCACTTGCTCCTGCCCTGCCCACTTGACCTCCCTGTTCCACAAGAATAATCTGCTTTGCCACATTCTTCAGCTGTTCCAACTGACCCTTTGTATGGGAAATTACATTCTTTTTCCCTAGCCTTACCAAGTCAAACTTACTGCTTGTGGTTAATGGCCCAAAACAAGACTCTCTGTGGCCTTAGGAGAACAGGTGGCCACCTGGAAGGATGTACCCGATGAGAAAAAATCTCTTTAGTTCTGCCCATGTTTCCTTTCTGGGCAGGTGGTTGGCAGAGTGCTGATGATAAGAGAAAGTGATGGAAGTGACAAGATTTTTAACCTCTCAGCCCTCTAGCTATGTGCTGCTTTATCCACTAAAAATAGTTGCTAATTCAACCTTCTGGGGAAACCTCAGGCACAGGCTAAAGAATTGCTAATATTAGTTGTTGGCTTTGTTGATAAAATTAACTATGTGAAAATTGGCTGTGTCTGCAGTATTCTTTCTTCTCTGTGCAGCTTTAACGTTTGTTTGCCTCTGTGGTGAGATTGTAATGGGAGGAGCAGAAGGAGAGGATGTCTTGTCACACTTTCTGCATCTTGTTGCCTTTCCTGACAAGGCTCAGCAAAGCAGAGCTTACTCTCTTGCCCCACTCCCGTTGTGGGTGTGAGCCTGAAAGCAGAAGTGTCTGAATAGAAATATGTTCAAGATAAGTGAGGGAGAAAGATTTTTATTTTTTTTTTTAATTACTCTTACTGTTTTTAAAGTTAGTGGCTTCAGGATAATTCAGTGTTTCTCTAGTTTAGGCTTTGAGAAACTGTGTAGCTTGAGGGCTTTCAGAGGATCTGTTTGTCACCAGAAGCTAGAAAGGCTCAGTCAATTTTTTTTATATGAGAAGAGTCTGAGGAAACATCTGTGCTCAGTGTGCCCAATGAATTTAAATTTATTTTTTAATTTTGTTTTAAACTTCAGCATAGGTAAAGATCTCTGATCCATTTTAATTTGGGATGAGTGATTTTTTCCTTTTTAAAATTCTGGTTATATTGAAACATCCAGTGCCTGTCTGACATCTGGTTTAATTTTAGAAAACAGTCCTGGGAGAAACTTTGTCAGTAAAGAGAAGTAGTGAGGTTATAACAGACAGTGCGTAACATTGGGATGCGCTACAGGCTTAAAACATACATTGGGATGTGTTACAGGCTTAAAAAAGGTCTTTTTGAGTGTACATCTGCTTTGCTGGAGCTCTGAAAATTTGATTTTATTGATATCCCCACCAGGAAAATGGAGAGATGCCCAGAAATGCGCTTGAGGTTAGGGGGAAATGCAGCTTTAGCACAAGCTTTTGTAATTCTTGTGACTATACAAACGTAGTCAGTAAAGCCTGTTGCTGAAGGAGTCAACCTCACATCATGAAACTAGAAGATCACAGGCTCATGCTATCTGTGTCCTGGTTCTTGGTCACAGCTGCTTTCTCTGTGATGCTGTTTCAGTGGTGCTTAGGCGTATGCCTGCCTTCCAGTAGCTACTGCAGCGTGTCCCTGGAGTAGGGGCTGCTAGAGCAGAAGTAGCTGCGAAGGGAGTTGACTTGGCATGTTCTAACCTCCACCTGCATTTTGTAACATGGAATTTCTTCAAATATATGGCGGGGTTTTTTTACTCTTACCATTTCCTGGTCCTCATCTCTTAAAGGAAGGGAATAAATAATTAGTTTTGTTATTTGTTTAACCAGAGAAAGGAACTAAGAAGTTCCTAGTCTTGTGTTCAGTTGAAGAGAGCAAGCCAACGTCTTTTTCAAGACACGGAGCTGCTGGGATGCATGATGCCAGGGACTCTCCCATCCTGTCTTATCATATTCATCAACCATCCTGTTGACTGTAGAATTGTTTCTGGCTTTCTTCAAAGACTGTATGATTATCTTATCAATTCCGAGAAAAGCAGGAACCCTTAACTATGCAACAGGATGGCTTAATTGCAAAATCTGTAGCGTGTCTTGCTTTTTCCATGAGCCACAGCATCTCTTAAGAAAACCACTGGAAGACGTGCTTAAAATATCAGCTGTTCCACAGAACTCGAGAGCTCTTTATTGCCCCTTTCCACAAACCTCTCTCCTCGTGTGACTTCAGAAGGGGCAAAATTAAGGCAGTAAGTGATGTCTGAATTGAACAGCATTACAGTTTTGCTTTTAATTTATAAGTCATTGAGAGTTAATTATCATACAACTCATAGACAGTAGTTTCGTGATTTCTTAATCTGTTATGTACACTAATTTTCTTTTGGCTAACTGCTTAAGGGAGACATTTGTTTCTGCAGGGCACCAGCTGTGTCTGAACTACAAAGCACAGGGTTAACAGAGTCTGTAATTACAGAGATGCGTGGGCTTGCTGTATTAATCGCCATTTAGAAATGTGGATCTCTCATCTTGACTTTCAAATCAAAAATATAGCCATAGGTTAATCCCCTCTGCCTGCTCAGGTTCCACCTCTGCAGGCAGGACGGCACCAGGCATGTGTTATGCTTTTCAGGGTTTCCCTGTTCATGTTCTCAGTTATATAAGTGTTTGCAGTACTTACTGGAGGGGGGGGGAGTTCTTTACCAACAAAATAATTCAGTCTCAATCACATCCCTGCAAAACAGAGCGTGCGTTCAGTGCCTTAAATCTCTCTTGTTCCATTGCTTTTCTCCTTTTAAAGATAATCCAGAGTTTTTCTTATTCACCGTTTGTCTCTCCCCTTGCAGCATCAGCGAAAGCTTCCTCACTGTGAAAGGTGCAGCTCTCTTCCTGCCACGGGGAAATGGGTCGTCTACTCCCAGGATCAGTCACAGGCGCAACAAGCATGCAGGTAATGTGTTACATCCAACGGCTGAGGCCTGTCTGCTCACTCTTGTTTCTGGGTCTGCCTTTCTCACCAGATAACACACATTTCTGTTTACACCAGGGGTGTATTAAAGCTAGACTTGCCAGTCTCAAGACTGTGATATTTAATGCTGGTGGGAAAAAAAAAGAAAGTTTCAGTACTCTCTTGTTCATCCTGCAGTATCAAACGAGTATCAGGGCAGCAGTCATGACATCACGGAGAGTTGAGAACAACTGCCCCCCATAATATCATCCTGTGATTTTTGTATGAGAGAGGAGCTGGAGGATTGCCATCCAAACCTTCATGCATCACACCGAGAAACTTGAGATTATGATACGGGATGAGTAATTGTTCTTCCTGATCTTAAAGTAACCGATTATGATGGAGGAAAGGGAGGAGACTTACCTCTGCGTGGAGGTGAGGAAGCCTATGAGTAAAGTCAGTGTGACTTTTCAGACGTGTGAGCAGACTGAATAATAAGGAGTCAGGCATAATTCCACACACTTTATCTGCTGAAAGTTTGATTTGTGTTTTTGCTTTGACTCTTTGTTTGAATAATGAAACTCAAACATTTCAGGGGAGGTTGTTTTTCATGGTGTGTATGGTGCTTATTCACTGATGGTGTTTTACAGGGATCAGATAGTGTGGGGTTTTTCCCTTCCATTAAGCAGTCACCAGGAAAAAACAACATTGAGACCTTCAGACTTTTGCATATGGGACAGACAGAAACAGAGGCCAGAGTCAACTTTCTTTGACAAAAGAGTGACCACCAGAAGGTGATTTGGTTGGTTCCAGGTGTAAATTTCTTTGTACTTTGATACCATCAGACTGTCATCCAGGTCTACATCTGGCAGAGTTACCTACCTGATGACTGGTCCACCTCAAAAATCTATTTACAGACATCTTTAATAGAAAGACTTTAAGTCAAAAAGCAGTTAATTACAAACTTCCACTTAGGCCTAGTACAAGCACTGCCCAAATTGGTTTGAGATGCATTAATTACCAGTTGTCAAATGAAAATAAATTGTTCTGAAACCTAATTTAAAGCTGGATTTTGTGCTTGAAACTGAAGTGAAATCCTGTTCAGCGTGCAAATAGAGTTAGCAGTTTTTTAAAAATGTGTCCTGACCTGTCTTGTTTTTTAATCTCTCCAAAGTCCTCCGTGTAATAGAAGCCCTGGTAGTTGCTGTCTGGGCTTTACCTTCTAGAGGAGACCTGCTGCATGGTTTTCTTTGGGAACCTGTGCAAGGCAGCACAAACAGTTTGAGTCTCTCTTATTGCCTCATCTATCTTCTTGCTACAGCATGAGGTCTGGAGCCCTTGGTGCAAAATAGTCACTCATCTCATCAGCCCAGAGCTTTTAGAAGTCATGTTGCCAAGAAAGCAAATCCAATGTGTTGTAATTGCTTACAACAAGGTGTTTTGTACCGGAGAGGCTGGCTTGCCTAAGGGATTAGATTTTTGTTCATAGAAGACTCTTATTCCCCTCTCTTCAGTGTATGGGCTGAGATTTAACAAGGCATCAGTACTTGTCCTTTCCTCAGTTTCCTTGCTTGTCAAGTGATGTGAATGGTGTAGCATTTTTATTATGGTGTTAGCAGATTTCACTGAAAAGAAACCTTGGTATGAGTGTTGCACCATCTTCCTTTTCTGTGAACTTTGTTAACATACAGTGTATGCCAGCAGACCAAGACACCAAGGGAATCAGCGGTGTCACCTTCCTGAGCAAAACATCTGTGCCACCAAAATTAAAGCAGGGATGTAGAGACTGACTCTGAGAGCTGAACCAGCCATTGGCAGTCAGCTGGCAGAGCATGTGGCAGAGTAAACTGTCTCCTTTCTTGGACTCTGATAATCTGCACTCAACTTTCATTCCTCTGTGAGTGTCATGACTTATCTCTGGCACACAAAATTAGGAGGAGGATGGAGAGTGGACATAACTTTCCAGTATGAAGTTGCTGCTTATGGATGCAGTAGTGTTTCAGGTGTACAAGAGCATTTTCTAGGAGGATTGACAAACCTTTCTGACCTGCCTTTCTAATTCATCAGAGGTGCTAGAATCCGTCATAGAGAGTAAATGCGTAACAGGAAATAATTAATGCTCACACCCAGCTCTTTAATCATCTTTAGTGATGGAAATCACTAGTTGGCAGATTGACTAGATGTGGTACCAGCTGTCCACGCTCCTCTCCCTGGGCGGGCCTGTGCCCTGTGCCACCTGGCAAGCGGGCTGCGTTCTGGAGGCTGGTGGGCTTGCTTTTGCACTCTGGAGGAGGCCAGAAAAGGATGTAACTTCCCTGGGGCTTTTGCCATCTCTGGGATACTGTAAATCACTTTGAAGATCCCACCCTAGTTGATGCTTTGCACCTAGCCTGCCAGCTCTGAAGGAAACAAAAGCGTCTGCTCTTTGCTGGACAATGTGATAGGAAGCAGCAGTCATGTCACCGATGCCAGCAAAGCCACAGCTCTTCATAGGGCAGGATGTGATATCTTTGTGCTAATTCTGGCATGTTCAAACCTTTCCTTTGCTTTTTCTTAATCCAGGAAGCTTACAAAATGCCTTGTGTGTTTGGGGCTGAAAATGCTGCAAGTCAATTAAAGCTGGCCAAGGAAGCAATACTTTACTTTCTAGCTCTGGAGCCCCCAAGGCTGGCAGGGCAGGCTGGGGAACAGGGAGGAGTGCAATAAACTTTCTGAGGATGAGAGATGATGGAGCTTTTTGACTGAGCCTTGCAGAAAGAGTTGTCTTAAAAACTTCCTCTCTTTTTAATGTATTGAGATAATCCAGTAGTCCTGGGGGTGTTGTTTAAACTCTGGAAACTTTAGCTCTTAAACTGGTTCCTGATGGTGAATTAATTACTGGCTGCAGTAGGTGGGTACTGTTATATTCTGGGGAGGGAAAAACTCAAGTGAAGCATCTTTCATTTCAGGTGCCTAAGGCATGTGAATGCCTCATGAGTCAAATATTTGCTGGGCTCTTCCAGGCTGCAGGCAGGAGGTGCCACATGAAGCAGAGGGACCTTTGCCTGTTGAGGTGACAGTTCTCAGCAGTTCCCACTGTGCTAGCATCTGAAACTTGGTGGAATTGGGCAGCATTGCCAGGGTTTTGCACTGGTGGTGATGTGGGGAAATCCTGTCTCCCACTGACCCCCTGGGAGGACAAGCATCCGATGGATGAGCTGGCCTTTCCTGTGTTACCTATTTCCCTAAATAATTGCTGTTCAAGGGGAGGTATGTGCCAGCCACTCCAGCACTGGGAACAGTGTCCTTGGGCAGGAAGTAGCTGCAGGTGCCTGTCGCCGCTTGTACTTTGTATGTGACTTCCCCAGCACTGCAAAGTGCCTCACTTTTTCCCACCCTTAGTTAAAAATGCAGTCCCAGGGCATTGACTCATTCTCCATCCGCTGAAATGTGTTTCAAGGAGGAAGGAAGACGAGAGCAGGGAATGCCGTGTCCTGCATAGCCCACTCCACGCAAGCTTGCCTCTGTCCCACCAGGAGAGAGGCTGCAGCAGCCCTTCAGCACTGCTGTTCCACCAGTTATAAAAATCATTTGGAAACTAGGTACTATGCTCTCACACGGCAGCGTTTCCTTACTTCCTCTTCTTCTTTGTGGTACTCTGGATGCTGCTCCATGTCTGAGGTTCCTTATTTCTAAAGGTCCTTGAAGTAGCAATGAATTAGAAAGGGAGGTCAGGAAGGCTGGTCAACCTTCCTAGAAAATGCTCTCATAGTCTCTCACGTTGAATATTTGCTCCAGCATTCATGCTCTTCCCTGCAGTGTTGCCTAAACTCAGCTTCCCATCTGTGTGGGAGTGGGAGAGTGTGGAAGAGTAAAGGCTCCTCTTGCCATTCTGTGCCACACACCTGGCAGCCTTGCACTCTCCTTTCTGGGAACGCAGATTGATTTTCCAGGTAATGATTGGGGAGGAAAAAAAAAAAAAAAACAGCCCATAGCTGAAGGTGTTATTGTTTACTGACACTCGGAAGTTAATGTGCTTGCCTAGCTGGGAAACTCTTGGTTCTGTATGGGCCAGGGAGTAGTGCTGAGAACTCACTGCAGCAGTACCAACAGAAACACATCATGCTTTAGGAACCTGGGACACTTAGCTCTTTTTATGAAGACTTTAAAGTTACTGCATGATTGTGTTGGTTTTTTTTTCCCCCCTTTCAGTTTTCCTGCATTATCTAGGAAAAATTATAGGTGCTTGGTTTTTCAGGTGGCATTTCTTAGCTATGTTTGGGTGGGGTTGGTACGTAAGTGTAAGTGGGCATGTGCTGCTCTGAGATGGGACTAAATCTCACTCCAAAGGGGATGCTTTTGTCTAGATTAGTAGTTATGCACTAAGTAGTAAATTGGTGTAAAAGAAATGACAGATTGCTGATTTGAAGCAGGTGGTAGAATGAGATTGTGAAGCATGGGGTGGGGTCCATTTATACCTAGTTTGCCTTGTCCTTTAAAGGAACAAAAGAGTACTGAAACTTCTTATTTCTGTGAAAAAGATAACAGGATTTAGGAGAGAGCATGGTAAAACAGGAGCAGATGATACACGGAGCAAAGGGCAACTGACTAAGAGATGGAGTTTTGTCATCTCTGAGTTAGGGGGAAGTGACAACAGTCATGGTGATGTGTCAGGTTTCTTGGTGGACATTTGCTCTGGCTGGACAGCCAGGAACTTGCATGTGATTTAAAACTATTTTTGTGCATTCACCTTTCCCTCTTGCCGGCAGGGGATCTCCAGCAACACCTGCAGGCCATGTTCATACTGCTCCGCCCAGAAGACAACATCAGACTGGTAGGCTGGCTTTTTGCTTATCTGCTGTTAATGAATGTAAAGGTTAAGTTCCACTTGACGAATACACCTGTGTAACTCACGAAAGCAGTGGTGTATGTGAGAGTGGTTTTATCAGTGGCTTTGGGGAGTCATCTTTGCAACCACAGAGGTAGAAAAGCAGCTAATTATGAAAGACCTGCTTTTTTGGTTGTTCAGTGAGACAAATTGTATGGCTAGAAGAGTGCCTTTGTGTGAACCAAATAGTGAGCATTTACGCTCTCAAAAAGTACTGTAACAGAGAAGCTGGGTAAATCGGCTTGGTGTCCTATTTAAATCAAGAGTAGGTGACTGACCAGCGTGAACACCTGCCCTTCCATGTTAGCTCAGTTGTGTTCATCACTCAGCTCTCCTAAATTGTTGCATCCCAAAAGGCCATGGCTTACCAGGAAGGAGCATGTGGGATCCCCACGTAGCTATGCACCTATATTGAACCTTGTCTTTCTGCTTTTCTGGGTTGTTGCCTCCTATAGTGATATAATGAAAATTAGGCATTGCTGTTTATAGCATTGATATGCAGTCCTAAAGACCTCCAGAAGCCAAAGAAGAGCAGTGAGGAATTTGTCTAGGACATGTTGAAGTGCTCTACAAGGTCAGGCATGACTGCAGTGTATCTGCATCTCTCATCACTCAGTAGCCTGAAGTTTCTTTCCTGTGTTGTCTTGGTGCATCTTAGCAACGTATGCCCAAAGTAGGACTGCCAGCATCAGAAGTGTTATTCTGACACCTCTGGTTTGCTGAATCCTCCTGAGCTATGCTGGAGCTAGACTGATTGTATGAGTATAGCTTGGAAATGGCCAAGATTACTATGGAATGCTTTAATTTTAAAAACGACCACCAAAATTAATTTGCCCTAAGAAATCTTTGTAAGCAAACTAAAGGACCTACTCCTAAACTTTGTCAGGCACACCTTGGTGTCACTAAAATTTCAGTAAAAGTGATGGGAATGGAGGTTCTCAGTGCTTTTCCAAATCTGAGCCCGGGTTAGAACATTGGAAGCTATTGAACAAGTCATTGTTCAGCAATATCACTAGCTACATTGTGTGATTTGGGACAAATTAGCCTTAACAGCTGAATAAGGACTTTGTGGACTGAGACATAAACCCTTTTGTTTGGGGCTACATTTGGAATGCTGAAATCTTGCATGAGGTTAAGTTCGATAGTCTACTTGAATTTAATTGATTCTTGACGAATGAAGAGTGTGCGGAGCTGCAATGGACTCTCTCATAAAATAGTAGATACAAATGAGATTTGAAATATAAACAGTACTGAGAGGAATGCATTCTCTTCTCGTGTTGGCTGCTGTCATTCAGAGGGCAGACTTCACAGCTCAGAGGGCAGCAGAGGAATCTAATCCTCTATAAACCTACACTTAAAATTTGGAACAACTCTTGCTTCTGTTGGAGCTGTTGGCAGAGTTTTTTAGCCTTCCATGAGAGCAGGATTAGAGCAATGGTACCAGTGTAAGATCAGTAGGAAGGAGGAAAATTAATTAAGAGTACATCTGGTTGAAAGTATTCCTGTAGCTTAGCAGGGTGGGGACTTGTTCACTGACATGCGTTCAGTAATAAAAGAAAACTTCAGAGAGTTGGGCACTTTTTTTGGTCTTCAAATCAAATATCCCAATGAGAAATGCATTCTTGTATGAAACACCTACTATCATGTGGCATGAAAAAGATGAAAGGTCAGTATGAACTTACTACTTGGAATGTGCTGTTCAGAAGGGCTGGTAAAATACCACGTCGTACTTCTGATGAAACGCTAATGCAGTAGAAGATAAAGTCGGCTTGTTTTTAGGTGAGCCTAAAACTAAGAAAAATGTTGCTGGCCCTGAAAGGAGTACAGGGGATGAGTTGTTCATGAACAGATTATAAATAACCTTTCCATATTAAGGAGAAAGCTAACTCTATGTAGATGAGCTGTTGAGAAAGAACTTTTCATCTCATCACAGTCCCTGAAGCTAGGCCATCCTCCCTAGATTGACTGGGATTTCAAATACCTTCATTTAAAAGGCATCAGACCACTTACTTGGTGTGCTCCTGCTGTCGGGTGAGCATATGAACTCGTGCTTAATGAAAAGGTTAGAGACTAATTTGTGATTTGATGGGCATGTTGGAGCTCTAATAGTAACTTTTGAGGTTGGCTGGTTTACAGTGTCAAGTTTGCTATTTTATTATTCTAGTAAATTTAGCAAAACATGTTATCTGCTCCAATCATGGTTCTTTGCTTTGTGGTAAGGGTGTAAGTGTTGAATCTAGAGAGCCACAGTAAGCCATGCCCTGTTTCTCCTAATTGGCCCTCTGAAAAATCCCACCCCACTGACTTGAACCTATGTGATCTTTGGTCGGCCGTTTGTCTATCCCTATTCTAAAGGGTCTTGCATTCAGACCACACTTCCCATTACTGCTAACCAAATTGGTTTAGCAAAGTGAGTTAGATTATGTTGATCTTTTTGCTGCTGGACTGTCCTCAGGAGAAGCAGAGCAGAACTCAGGTGTGGATGCTCTGAACATGGGGCAACTGTTGTCTGCCTGTTCCCGTTTTAGGCGTCTGTGTTTCTGTTTGAGGTTTGGTTCTTAATGCAGATAATGACTTTAACTACCAAGATCTTGGTGATTGCTTGCTCTTCTAGGTTGAAGAGCACCCTTTCTGTTTTGCTACAAGTGGTTAGTTGTAGAAGCAGCTGTCTTGGGCAGAATTCACACCTTGAAGGACTGACCACTTTGATCTTCTGTGTTTGCAAAGGAATCCCAGTGACCTGAGGAGCAAGAAGGAAAATAAGGCTGGTTTTAGCATGACTTATCCTAAAGAGACAGGGCGGGGCACAGTCTCTCTCTGTACAGAGCATGTCTGTCTGCTGGCATCAGCATTTGGGTAGTTTCTGTTAGTCTTCAGTCCCCTTGGACAAGTCTAGAAGACACAGTCAGCACAGTCTCCTGCCTGCACTTGCTATTCTGCCCCCATCACTAGAGCTGCTTCTCCCTGCAACACCACGGGGAAGCTTTCCCTGCCGCTCTCAGCATAGTCTCCTGCAATAGAGCACTCTGGTGAAATAGCAAGATCTGATTTAGCAGCTGTGCACTATTTTAACCTTTGTTGTAGACTCTGCCACATGTTGTGGCAGAGACTTACTGTCTAGTGGACAGGTAAGGTGTGAGGAAGTCACAGGAGGCTTTCTGTGAGCTAGGAGGTGCCATTCTGGCCTCAAGAAAGACCAAGTTAGAAAGAACTAAAGGAGTGTATTGGGAAAAGCACCCTACTCCTGAGAGATCCCACACAATAGTTATTTTGTGAGCTTTTTTAAGGATAAAAATCGCTGTTTAAACTGGGCTCTCTGAGCCATGAACTCCTGCAGGCTGCCAAGAAGTGTCTACACAAGCAATGGCTCAGGAGGCCTGGTGTTTGAAGAAAGCAGGTTCAGTTTGTGAAGGACGTCAAACACTGCTTCAAGCTTCAACCATTGGGTCACGAGGAATTTGGCAGCTGGGTTCTGTCATAGCAGGCAGGTGTCTGTCTGCAGCATGGGGCTGGGCTGTGACGGCTCCTTCTTCCCTGTGTTTGCTCTCTGTAGGCCCTGCTCAAAGTTCAAGAAGCAGTTTAACAATAAATAAACATTGAAGCCAGATAGCGTCTTAGGGTTGGATTAGGCTGTCCAAAGTTAAGATTCAGTATACATAATTAAGTCACTTCCTTTCTAGGGATGTCTTAATTTCTCTAGTTGGGATCCTGTGACTAAAATTAACTGCAAATGGCTTGGAACAGAGTCCAAAAAGCGTTGCAAGTAAAGGCTGACTACTGCATATGTTTATAGCCAAACCTAAAATGCTGGGCTCCCTTCCATGGGCTCCTTACTAACCAGCAGTCTGTCTGTAAGACAACTTGCTGGAGTCACTTCAGTTCTTGATTCATAATGGCTTCTGGAGGAGGATTACACTTCAGTTCAGCCTTTGAAGAGCTTCAGTGTTGGTCTGACGATCACAACCTCACTGCACGGCCACTTTCTGAATGCTGTCAGTAGTGTTTGACTTGGGGGAGCTTAGGGTGAAATTCGGGCATCCTCCAGTCCTGCTAGATCTCTCTTTTGCCAGAGGGGTGCACTTGGTTGTGGTAGGAGCACTGAAGCACAACGACTTTCATGTTTTCTAAGCAATCTGAATCCAAACATGGATGCGCTTTAGTAACAGGGAAATCTTTTCCTGTCAGCTGGAAGGATTGCTTCTGCACTAGGGAGGTTGCTAGAAGAAATTCAAAGGACCAGCAGGAAACCACATAGCAGTTAGGTCCTAGCTGTCCAGGAAGTTTGTGGAAAGAGTCTTCATTGTAGCACACAGTAGTTTAAAAGAAGGATCTAGCTCTTTGGACAGATTCCTCTGAGAGGTAAAGAATACATTCAGCACCCATCTGTCTTGCTGAGCACATAATGCTCTGTGAAGCTCACTAGGCTGGGACCAGTCAGAGGACTGTGGCAGCCAGCCTTGTAGGCTGCTGTTTAAATGCAGCCTTGGTGGGACAGAGCAGACCTGTGTGCAGAAGGCACCAGGAACATCCCAGCTGTTGAGGAAAGCACTGTGGAAGAGACTAAGTTGCTTCTCCCTCTTCTGCTGGTGACCCAGCTTAGAAGTACAGACCATGCGTACTAGTGCAAACTGCATCACTGCTTCTGCATCTCTCACTCAGCATGAACAAGTGGCTTGTAAAGGCAATAGTGTGTGTTTTGCTGGCTGCACTGCTGATCTCTCCCCTTCCTTTCTTTAGGCTGTAAGACTGGAAAGTACCTACCAGAACCGCACTAGATACATGGTGGTAGTGTCCACCAACGGCAGACAAGACACTGAAGAGAGCATTGTCCTGGGAATGGATTTCTCTTCCAATGACAGGTACTCACAGTGTCCGGGTGGGAGAAGTCCTCGGGTTCACCCACGTGTCAAATCAAGTGTAGAAGTCACTGTCTGGTGTCTATGCTTTCTGGGAATAGACTGCTTCAAATTTTCCAGCCTAACACCTTTCTTGAGATCCAGAATTCCCCTTTTATCTCTTGAAAGGAGCGGGCAGATGGGAAGGCAACAGTGCAGGTCAGCATTTCCTCCATTCCTTTGAGCCTCAGCGTTATGTGAAGACATTAAGTGGCCTTAAGTGTCTCTGAATGGTGAGGTCCCTAAGCCCTGCATCTGCACACCAGAGACAGGGATGAGTCTCACGCATAAAAAGAAAAAGCTGCAATTAGAGAGGCTGGACATCAGGGTTCAGGAGAGCAGCTAATAAGAAGGTGACTGTCAGGCAGCCCCTTGCCAAGGTCACGGCACAAAGGGCCTGATGGGAAAGGTCGGGGTTGCTGGTGACAGATCTTCTACAATATGTGCTCTCCCCAGACACCAGTATGTCATCGGGGTTTAGTGCTTTTGCTTCATTCATTTAAATTGCTGCTGACCTCTCTGAAAGGCTGCAGAATGTGGCAGGGAAACAGCTTTTACTGCTGGAGTGACTGTAAGCCAGGAGGCAGCACCCCCAGCAGCTTCACAGGCAGAAGCTTCAATTTTAGGCACTTTGGAGAGGGTGTGGAGGCATGTGCCTCTCTTAAAGGGTTGTAAGTAAGTCTTGGCCTATGCAGAGAAAGAAAAACCTGGATGTTCAAACCATTTTGGAAGGTTTCATACACAACTGCTACAGGAATGAGTCTCGTTGTTGACCCTAGTTGGTAGAAATTACTTTCAGGTAGTCAGCAGAGTCACTAGAAAACCTTTTTGAACCGTTTGGCTAAGAAATGACCTTCCAAACAGCTTGCTGATCACAACAGCCACCGTGCTTAATTTCAAGTGGCTTGATTTGGAAGCTTAGCTCAAGTGATGCCTGCTAAAAAGGGGGACTAGCTTGATGCTGCTCCTGGCTCCCTCCCTGTGCACGTGTGCACAGCTGTAGCTCAGAGATGCTCTTGCAGTAGTGCAAGAATAACTTGTCCTTGCACAGGTTGTTGTGAGCTTGGAGCTTGCTGTTGGCTGTGATACACCAGCACAGCCACCTTTGATAACTGAGAGCTCACTGGTATTCAGTCTCTAATAACGTAGCAGGGTCATTTTAGCTTTCTGCCAGAGTTACTTAGGTTCTGGATGGTCAGTCTGATACACCCTCCCCTAGCCCACTTGGTATTTATAACTCAATGTGGACTTGTTGCTATGGTCTCTGATAAGCGCTTGCTGAACAGTATCACTAAAAATACCCTGGCCACCTTGGGAAGCCTTTTAAAAACACATCTTTCCATGAGCTCATCTCATGTTGTCAACAGAAATAGCTGTGTGCCGCAGTGCCTGCTTGTGCTGGGCACCAGTTGCTCCGAGGTGTGTGTGTTTACAGGGCTTCATGTCTGCTTAGCCTCTGAAGCCTTGAGTCTCACGCTCTTTCCCCACTTCTCATGAACTGCGGAGTCTGACGGGGTGTTAGGGCTTGTGGAAATTTGAGAGCAGATAGTGCAAAGCCTCAGAGCAGGAGGCAGTTGAATCCAGTTCTTCATCAAGATGCTGCTTTGATTATGGACCAATTTTACAGGTTTATGAGATTCAGCTTTTTCATTTGACAACCTGGTGGAGGTTGTGTTGGGGTTCCCCCGCCCCTGCCTTTTTTCCATCGCTTGACTTCTGCTTTTATCTTGGCTTCTTGCTCAACCTTAGAGAAACCAGGTGACACTCAGGGCAAAGAGGTCAAAGCAGCTGAGAGAGGAGTGGGATTGCCAAGAGGTGTCTGTCTCTGCTGGCTTTTGCCATCATCCTTGAGGTGTGGGAGGGCAAAGAAGGGGCAGGAGTCAACAACGGGTGATAGGCTGTGATTGCTAACCTACTGTGCTGCCAGTCACCCTGCTATTACACTATACTGATCCCACATCTCAGCAGCTGTGGCTGAGGGACAAACAAGAAAACAAACCTGTGGATTGCAAAATCAGAGCTAGAACCAAACCACTTGAGCCTGAGAGAGACTAATCAGTAAAGAAAGGCTTGAGCTGACTGAAGACCGGGAGCCCCCTCTGAAGTTCTGCACAGAACTTGCTGCTTCTGAACCCTGTTTGCTCTTCTCCTGGGTGTATGTTAACCCTTTAAGCTTGCTTGGAAGAGTACTGCTGTACCCTGTATCCAGTTAATGATCCTTGCCAGACACCTGTAGAACAACACTGGCACTGTTTCTCCCTGAAGCAACAGTGGGATTTTTTTTTTATTTTTTTTTTCCCTTACGAGTACAAAAATACGCGACCGTTGCAGTAAAATTAGAATTATAGCGTGGTGCTGTGGTAGATTAGCTGACCTTCTCTTTCTTACTACAGTAGCACTTGTACAATGGGCTTGGTGCTGCCGCTGTGGAGTGACACCTTGATCCACCTGGACGGGGATGGGTGAGTGTCTTTTTTATGTTCTAGATCAATAGCAAAGGGTCTCTGTGTGTGAGCTTACAGCATGGTGTATGGGGAAGGATTCAAATGATTGCAGAGCCCTAACAGGTCCAGCAGACCCTCCTGGTGTTGGCCTGTATCGAGTTAGTAGGCTCAAAGGCCCTAAATCACAGTGGTTATGGCAGGGAACACCAATAATTGACTTATCTGTGAATAAACACGCACTGAGACGGTGGCTTGTGTGTGTTTAAGCTGGAGTAAAGGAGCTTTTAGTGGTGAGTGGGTGTGTAGTGAAAGCTCCTTAAAGGGATCCTATTATGCGTTCCTCCATCACGCTTCCAGCAGGCAGCGTTCGGCTGAACATAAAATAAGAATGGTGTTTCTCTGCCAAATAGACACCTGACTTGCAGACTCTTGTTTGTGCCAGTCACAAAGGCTGTCCAGTGCAGTGCGTGGAATGATGTTTCTTTCCTTGGTAGCTGCCCCAGGATCACTTTAGCTGGAGACTGTTGATCCCAGCTGTGGCACTGAATTTGTGTTGCCAAGGTAAACAGCCCAGCCCAGCACTGTCCCAGTGTCTTAGTTTCATTCCTGAACAGCAGCTGCTTTAAAAAGTTACCTTAGAGCTTTTAGCCTGCTATTTTGATCTGTTTGCTAGCTGAACTCATCAGTGTATGCATAGGGCTAGTCCCTTGCTCTTCTAATGTGCTACAAACTATCAGTTATTAACTAAAAAGTGGCTTTTTGGACCCATTTTTACTGTGCCTTTTTTTCCTCTCTCCAGAGGGTTCAGTGTATCAACAGATAACAGGGTTCATATATTCAAGCCAGTGTCTGTACAGGCAATGTGGTAAGTACTTACTATAATCTGTCCCAGTGATCCTTTTTTCCAAGGTGTTTTGGCTGCCTGAGCTTTTAAAAAGCAGGTGCTGCTTTGCATTATTGGTATCTTGAGACCTACTCAAGCAGCTAGAAGTCTCCTTCAGAGACAGGGAAGGAAGTTTCATACCAAAATAAAAAAACATGCAAGTGCTGGTGTACAGCAGTGAGTTTCTAATGTTGCTTCAGCCGCACCTTTGTCTCAGCTGGGGGCAGGAAGGAATAGGGTAATTTTCCTTGCAAAGGGTTGCTGCTTTGAATCTCTCCAAAGCAGAATTGCTTTGAGCATGTGTTTGAAATACATTCATTTTTTTTTATTTGTCATAAATAAGGAAATACACGCTGTGCATATTTTAGGAGTCTCTGTCTCCAGTGAGATATGTTCATTGTGATAGTGAGAAGGAAAGAGAAGCTGCCTGCATTTTTCTCCCCTTTTAGGGTGGCTCATGTAAGAATGTAGTGGCCATGGAAGTATTTCTGGCTCAAGCTTCTTTGCATTGCAGAAATACATTGCCTGTCAGGGTGTCATGCTACTGTGTCACCCTAGTGATTTTGACCTGGATCCTTCTGATCTTAGTCAAAGATTTAAAACAAGCTAAAAATAGGAGAGCGAGGATTTGTTTACCAGCAGCAGCTGCAGAAACTTCTGATATCCCTTGTGCAGTGAGAGAGGACAGACACCTAAACACCTCAGTAAAGTCAAGTCCTAAGCCCTTGGTTGTTGTGCAGCTCTCCTGGTGTCCCTGCTCTGCACTCAGGGGAGCTGATGTTACAGTAGTTCTCAGAGCACCCTGTCTTGGCCACAAACTCCGCATCTTACATATGGTTTAGGTAGTTGTAGCAGTCTTTGGAGCCAGAGATGCAGATGGTTTTGCCCCTCTGAAATGTGGGCACCTTTTCTGCCACCCAGGCTTTTCTTTTCATACTTCAGTTAAGGCATATGCGCTCTTGCAGTGTGTGATTATCCACAGCCTTGTGCCTAGTGCCAGGGGCTGTTGCATGTAGGACTGGGGTTTGTACTAACGGATGGGACATGAGCAGCACCCTGGATTTGGCTGCTGCTTTGTGCTTGATACCAACCTGAGGAAGAAATTATAATCCTGCAAGTATTTTTCCCTTTCTAGGTCTGCTCTGCAGAGTTTACATAAGGCTTGTGAGGTGGCACGACTCAACAATTACTACCCAGGGAGCCTCTTCCTCACGTGGGTCAGTTACTATGAGAGCCATATCAACTCCGACCAGTTGTCAGTAAATGAGTGGAATGCAATGCAAGATGTCCAGTCCCACCGGCCCGACTCGCCCGCCCTCTTCACAGATGTGTAAGTTGGTCTGGCTCTGCTAAGCCGAAGTGTTTGGCTGTCAAGCACTGCAGTATCCAAATGAGACAGTTTCCACAAGTGATTACTCTTTAATTAGGTATTAACGAGGAAAAGCTTCCTGTTCCAGGTAGTAAGCAGACCCCTAGTTAGGTAGACACCAGCGCTGGAAGTTTAGCTCTTGGGGCTCTCTTGTATCTCCTCCAGCCTGTTTTCAGTCTAGTTGTTTATCTTGGGCTTTAGGCTTGCACATCTTTGCTTCTGCAAGGTAAGTCCTGTGTTTCTGGTGAGCGAGAGGTGTGGTGTATTCTAGTACCTAGGCCTTCCTCTTGGCTGGTTTTGTCCTCTGATTTCCAGGCCTAGTGTCTCTTAGAAGGAACAGGCTTCTCTGAACTTTGCTCTTACACTAGTGCACGTCCAAGCACATGTTTGGAGTAACGTGGTCTTTTTTTTCCTCAGTTAATTTTGCTGTGAAGTGAAACATTTATGTATGGACTTTTGAGACTCTGAGCTCAGAAGGATCCTCATAGGCACCCATCTGATACATCTGAGAATGGGGACAAAGAACAGTGCAGTTTTTCATCATCCTGAGGAGCTCTGCAAGTGTGCAACAGGACAGTATATAGGTCCCAGTCTGCATCCAGCTAAATGCAAGGATGTCTGGTGATACATGGTCCAAAACAGCGGCTGAAGTAGATAGGTAGACAGTTTGGAAAGGGAAAATGTTTAGGCTATATCAACATTCAAGGTTTATAACCCTTGTAATTAGTAATTGCTGATGGTACTGATACCATATAACCTCAAAGGTAGTCTGTGTCCAGATGTGATGCCGAGTGTGAGGGCTTAGTTGCCTGGTTTGTAGTAGTAGAAATGACTTCACTTGCCCCAGCTGCTTTACCAGTATAATAGTGCCATTGGTTGATTTATGCTCCCAGATATTTCCTGTTGTTGAAGTTCAGTGAGTCAATAATAATGCTAAGCAGTTGTTCAGCTGTGAACAAGTCTTCACACTTGATTGTTTTTTAATGTACAAGGAGGGTGGCTGAAAAGTTTTGGCAGGCTGTCAGATTAATATTCCCTTGTATTTTTTCATATATAAATTTTATGCAATGTACCCTTTTCCCTGGTGGCAGCAATTGTATGGTTTCCTGGAGACACCTAGACAGCATTCTCTTAATTGAGTCCTGAATGTGTGAGGTTAAAAGTACCAGGAACTTCCATGATTTTTATTTGTGGACAACCAGTTGGACACTTGTAAAGCAGAGAAGTGTCTGTACAGTCACCATCTTGGCACCCTTCCAGAGAAAGGTGGTGTGAGATGTTACTGCTGGGTCCCTTCTAAAGACGATGGGTGAGCCAGCTCTGTGCTGCTGCTCTGTTGCAGTTTCCCCTGGTGTTAGGCTATTTTTGCAGCTGGTGATAAGGGCCCTGGCAGCAGAGGCTGGAGGAATGCACAGAGGCTTAGCTGCCCTCGTTTCTCCATGTAAGGAGCTTTGGAGCTGTTACCTTTCCAAGAAAGGTAGAGGGAGGCTTAGATATTGCTCCAGAGAGTTTAATGCAGCCTTCCCAATTTAAATTTTACCAAATACCAGAGGTTCTCTGGATGACTACAGTGGATTAGGAGCATTCAGTTAGTCTTTTCCATATGCAACTGGGAATCTAAACTGGGCTTTACAGTCACCTAAATTCCCTCCAGCTGAGGACATGCTTGGGGGAAGTAGTGTGAGTATATGAGACTCTGCAGAGTATCCAGTCTATACAATACCTGCTTAAAAAGTGCCATGTGTTCAGTTTGTTTCCCTTCCCAGTCACTCTGTTGCTTTCTTCTGATAGCCCAACTGAGCGGGAACGCACAGAACGGCTAATTAAGACCAAGTTAAGGGAGATCATGATGCAGAAAGATTTGGAGAACATCACATCAAAAGAGGTGAGAGTGGTGAGGGAGCAGCACTGGAAGTGCTGTTGTGCAAACTAGAGAGCTCTGTACTTTACCGTGAAGAAAGGCCAAAACAAAAATTTCCTTGCGTTTCCTCCCCATCCAGATACGGACCGAGCTGGAGATGCAGATGGTCTGTAACCTGCGGGAGTTCAAGGAGTTCATTGACAATGAAATGATAGTGATCCTTGGGCAGATGGACAGCCCCACACAGATATTTGATCATGTCTTTTTGGTAAGTCTAACAGTGAATTCAAGAGTAAACACGCCTAACACTTTTCACTATGGCTTGGTTGACACAAAGGCCTCTGGAGGAACTCTGAAGGAGACGTTGGCTGATCCTGGGGTCACATACTCTTAAGCAAGACACTAGTGCTACTGAAGAAGAGCAGCCCAGCTTCTTGGCTGTACTAAAGTTTGCTGTACAACACCAGCCAGGCTGTAGACCCTGTCGCTAGAGGATAGAAGAGAAAACGTCCTAATTCTAACTACTCTTCAGGGCTGTCTCCACTGATGCAAGAACAGTTTTGCAGCTTTAACTGTCGAGGGTACCCAATGCCAAGTTCTTAGAGTATACGTGTGTTTAGGAAGGGCATAGCTACAGCAAAGAGGGAGGGGAGTTGCTGGGGAGAGCTGTGTAACATGCAGGTAGAATGACACTCTTGCATCATGGAAAGCTCTGAGTTCATATGATCTGGTAGGAGCAGAGGAGTTTAACAAAGAATCCTGGAGAGAAGTCACTTGAGGAAACCTAAACATTTCGCTTTTTAATGTTTTGCTTGGTTAGTTGCCTTTCATTGCTGCTGGGGCCTGTCTAATTACTGCACCTCCTTCTGGTGAGTCAGCACTCCGCTGCATTTCCCAGCCCTGAAGCAACGGACGCAGGTTTGGTTGGGCTGTCTAGCCTATGAGGTTGGCTCAGCTTTAAACAAAGCCATTCCACTTGGGCCAGCTGGGCTTCCCAAATCAAGAGGGCCTCTCCCAGTCTCCTGAAACTTAGTGCCATGGCTCAGAAGGGGTGGTGTATGTTAATGTGAGTGCTCCCAATAAATTGTGGTGGGCTAGAGCCAGGAAACTTAAAGTACCTACAATGTAATGGATTTTTTTTTTTTTTTGGTAGACTATGTGTTCTCTGGAGAGAGATGTGTTGCAGGCTTACAGTGCTAGTCAAAAGCAGTGCAGGCAGTTCAGTCCAGTGCAAAGCTTGGAGTCTTGGCTCCGAGTGCATTTAATGGGAATGACCTATAAAACAAGGCTTGCAGGCAGCACCAAGGAGAAGAGCTGTGGCTAATGTGTGCAATAGAAGTATTTGAAAAGCTGCTCTCTGCAGTGAGGGGTAGTGCTTGCTGGGGCTGGGCGTTAGCTTAATTCAGGAGCCTGTATACTGCAAGGCAGAGGCGTGCAGTGAGGTCTCTGGAGGGCACGGAGCTGTTTCCTTTCAGGTGGAGGTAAGAGCCCTGTGGGATCCCACTTAGGGAGTGCTAAAATAACTAAGCAGAAAATGAGACCTGATGATGGTGCTGATTGCGGGTCAAAGTACAGGAGAAAGGCTTTCACCACTGCAGCATTGTTTTCCATACCCATGGAAACTGGTGGTTCCCAGGCCTGAATTAAAGTATTCTTCCTTGGCCAGAAAGAGATGGCATGAAGCTAACTTAAGTCTGGAGGGCTAGGGTAAATACAACAGGGATCAAAATACGTTCAGCTTAAATTTTGAAGGAAGCCTTTGTCTTGAGTGATTTTTGTCCTCAGTCAGGCTTTCTGTGTTTGAGCAGGAAACAGGCAACTTGGAGGCCCTGCATCTGCCACAAAGAAGGTTCACTAGCCAGGGTTAAATGTGTTTACTTCTCTGCTCACACAGGCTTTGAATGTGGAGAGAAGAGGTGTAACCCAAGTGAGCTTACAGTGTTGCTGCCTTTGATGTGTGATGGGTGTTTCATGTATAAAGAGCACCTGGATGGTTTTAAAATGCAGGCAGTCTCTCTTCTGCAGGGTAGAGCTGGCAGCAGCCTCAAGGGAAAGGGTGGAGTGGTCTTGTCTTCAATGTTGATTTGTCAGCGTTTGCAGGAAGTGCCAACCTATGGTGCTGGGCTCCTGCTTTGCAGAGCTGCTTGTTGCTTCAGAATAGATCTGGTTAATGGGGTGAGATAAGGTGCTGAACATCAGCCCTGTTACCACTCTTCTCTGTACCCCTTTACTCAAAAGAACCCCCACTCGCCAACACTTGGCTGACCAGCTGCTTCCTATAGTTCGTTGGTGACAATCCCTCTGTCCATCAGTTGTCTGGCCATGCCTTCCTTCTGGTTGAAGTGTCCCTTTGCATGTTTTCCCTGCAGGGCTCGGAATGGAACGCCTCCAATTTGGAAGACTTGCAGAACAGAGGGTAAGTAGCTTCAGGCCATCAGCTTAAAAGCAAGAGCCTGGCCTCAACACTTGTCTATGCAACAAACTCTGTTCCATACCTGCTGTGTAACCTGAGCCTCACTAAAGGGTTTGCAGATCAGAACAAGCTCTTGCTTCCTCCAAACTTGGCGTCCCACTAACAGGCACCCTAAAGTAAAAGAATCTTGTACCCTGACCTTGACTGACATCCCCTCGGCGATCAAAGGAAGCCAACAATCTCATAGCTATAAGGAGCAAAAAGCTACAGTTACTTCACTGGGTGCTGCGTGGTTGGCTCTGTGCCCCCTGCTTCAGCCCGTTCTTCTGGAGTAAGGTCTCAAGATTACAGAGGCAATTTAGAGTCTGGACCTCCGGCCTGTGGCAGGAAGGAAAATCTGTAGAAGAGTGTGTGTTGCTTTGAGTGAGGCCCAGTAGGAAGTAAAGTCCTGTAGCTCTTGGGCTTAGCATTGATGGGTTCCTCTGTCTCCTGCCCTTTTTCCCTTCCAGGCTTAAGCTTAGTGTGTTCTTTCTCTAGGCCAGGTGGATCTAAGCACCAGGATTTTGCAATTAAATCATTATGGGATTGGCTTGTTTGTGCCAATCCAGTGGGGAAAAAAAAAAAACCTAATCACTCTGCTGAGTTTAATTGATAGCATGCTTCTGTACCTCGGAGAATCAGCCTGGCAAAACTGACCCTCCTCATTCAGCTCAGGGTCTCCTGCCACTTCCTTGGGTCAGCCCAGGTCCTTTTGACTGCCAGTGATCTCATACCTGCTAGGGAAAAGGGATGTCCCTCCCTTGTGATGCTCTTGTTCTGTCTGATATCCCAGCATGAGTGCGGTTCATAAGCATCTTACGAGTAACCCTCAGGGCTAAAAATACTGGATGTAGTCTACATAAATACCATATGCTTTCTCTAGCAGTTTCCTTTCCAGAAAATTTAGGGATAAGAAATAAATCCTCCCCAGTGGCTCATTGTCTGTTACATCTCTCTCTAGTTATTTTTTGCATTTATTTAACTACGGTGTTGCTCAAGAGCTTACGCCTTCAATCTTCCTGTGTTGTTAGTGCAGCAGGAGGAGGGACTTAGAGAGGGGCTTTGAGAAAGTGTCCAGACACTGCCTGAACAGTCACTGCAGGAGCTGCTGTGACACTTGGAGAGGTGATGGGCAAGCCGTGTAACCTGACATAGCATAGAGGATGTTTCTGTGCAGTATAGATGGGAGCCCTTTTATAAGAGGTTAGGCTCTACATTGCTCGGCAAAACCTTTTGTCTGTGTTAGTTGCTGCTTCCTTGCATTAAGTCCTGGTTTCCAAGGAGGTGTGTTCGAGGCTGCAACTTCAAATTCTTTGAGTTTTGCCACTCGCAAAGCAAGGCAGGTCTGTTGTGTAGCAGCTGTGATATTTCTCTGAACTCATTGCGTTCTGCACACTCTGGATTTTTATCTGCTGTCTGTTTCCATGCAGGGTGCGGTATATTTTGAATGTGACTCGAGAAATAGATAACTTCTTCCCTGGACTCTTCGAATACCACAATATTCGGGTATATGATGAAGAAGCAACAGATCTTCTGGCTTACTGGAATGACACATACAAATTCATCTCCAAGGCAAAGTAAGTCTTTTCAGAACAGAACAAACATTTAGAAGATGTGCACTAAGCATTTTATATTTTCCTGCTGATTTTCTTAACTACTTTTCTTCCTTGCCTACCTAGGATCAAACCATTTTCATTTTGTGGTTTCTGTCTAAGTGTTAGAGTTGCCTTCTGCAAATTTTCAGTCTTGTGGGTGCTTGTACAAGGAGCAGGTAGGACTAGTGAGGGGTTTCTGCCCAGTTGCAGTCCAGGCAAACCGTGGAGGAGATCATTCCTGTACTAGAGAGCTAACAGTTCACCTGCTACTTAGGAAATGCTGTGGATCTGCAGAGGTGCTGGTGGGAGGAAAGGGCAGTAACAAACTGAGCAGGGCTTAACAAAAGGAAGAAGCAAAACCTTATCAGCCAAACACAAACGTAAGTTGTTCTCTGCATTGTGAGGTTGTACAATGAAACCCACAGTCTGAAAGTGATTTCTTGTAGCATAATGCTCCAGAGCAAACTCTTACCTTTAACAGGAGTAAATGCCTGTGTAGGTCTCTGAGCTGTCAGTTCCAGTGAGTGATCTGATAGTGGATGCTGAAAGTAGGGCCTTTTCACTGCAAGGAACTGCATCCCAGTTATATGAGCTGTCTCCAGTTAATTCAACAGCATTCTTAAGGGAAAACTGGTGAGAAAGCAGATTGGCAATATGTTGCCTTTAAAGTATTATTTCCATTGTAGCAGTCTGTCATCTCTTAACTGTAGCTGGTGCTTGCAATTATTCATAGCCTTTAAAAGCTGACTTGTTTGACTGTGGCTCAAGACTTACTTGATGTAAGATTATTTCTTCAAAAGACGTCGTCATATTCCCTTAAGTATTGATTTTGAATTGTTGCCATCCTCAGAAGTATTCTCCTGCCCAGAATATTTTCCATTGAGGTTTAAACGATTGGGCCTCGGTACTATGTATGAGGTGATATAAGTTAATGATCTTCCAAACTGGGGCAATTACTGTATCCCCTTCTTTGCCCTGTCTGCTTGTTGTGTTTGGGGTTTATTTTAGTCACCAAAGCATTGCAATGTTTTGACTCATTTGATTTTCAAGGTTGAGAAAGTCTTTGAGCAGTCTAAAGGCTGCTATAGCCCCTTATACCCCAAACAGTGCAGTCATCTCTGAGTGTCTGCGGAGTGTGGATGCAGGTACAGGCTCAGACAGCTGCGAGCAGCTGAGGTCTGAGCTTGTCGAGGCACATGACCGTGTGTGCTCTCTGGCCTCCTGGTTTGTCCTGTTGGATCTTTACACGGCTGGCAATCCAGAAAACCTAGCACTTAAAGGAGAAAATGAAAGGTGCCAAACCCACATTCTCTCAGCCTGCTCTGCACCAATGCTGTCCGGCTCACAGGGTTCACAGAGAAGGGCCGTAGCCTTCTCCTCATATTTCATGGCAGACAAATGTGTTTTAATTCCTTGGAGCAGAGTACTGGCTGCCCTTTCAGGCTCTATACGAGCCTCCCTAAGCAGAGTAGCTGCTCATTGCATGCAAAGGCACTGTTTGCTTTCCCTTCAATCAGAAAAGACAAAGCAGAAGATCTTCTATCTGATGGCAGCAGGGCACAGGCTGCAGCCGTCATTTGAGGTCTCTGCCTCCGCCCGTGGGCAGGTCCATCTTTTCCACTCGCATTTAGACAGGTACCGTGGTGAAGGACTGTTACAAACAGAACAGGGTGGGGAGATTTCTACCTAGAGACAGTCCTAAGAAATGGTATGGAGAAAAATCTGCCAAGTTGGTCCACAGGGCTTTTGACTGGATTTGCACTTAGCAGTATCTTGAGATGTGGATGGAAGCTAGGTGGGGTTTCAAACACCCGAGTAAAGCAATGTTGTTCAGCCAATTGCCAAACTCAATAATAAGCTGTCAAAAGTTTGCAGTAGAAGAACATCTCTGTTGGCGGCTACCTTGAACTGCTCAGTATCTTCCAGGGATGTGTTTTTAAAGTTTCTAAACTGTGACATCGTGTTTGTGTGATAGATGCCCTTTTTATTATTGCAGGAGTACTGCTTGATACCAGTGGGCCATTTGGGCTGAGTTCAAGGATGCTATATTAGTCTTTAGCAGTCTTCATAAATACCTGCAAACAGCTGATGTTTGTCCGCTTTGCAATAAAAGTTTCAGAATCTGTTAAGAATATTAAGACCTTATTCTTCACTTTCTTTGTGTGTCTTGCTCCACTTTATAAATTGGATTATCAGATCACATTCCAGACTTCAATTTAGGCCACAGTCTTGAAAATGTGTTTGGTAATGCTCTGGTAAAGAAGTTGGTATTTTCTTAAGCTTTTCAGAGGTTGTGTTTTCTATTTAATGATCCTCTTTTGTCTTTCTCCTGCTTCAGGAAAAATGGTTCTAAGTGCCTGGTGCACTGCAAGATGGGAGTGAGCCGCTCGGCATCCACGGTGATCGCCTACGCCATGAAGGAGTACGGCTGGAACCTGGACAGGGCCTACAACTACGTGAAGGAACGGCGCACCGTCACCAAGCCCAACCCCAGCTTTATGCGGCAGTTGGAGGAATACCAAGGGATCCTGCTAGCCAGGTGAGTGGAAGGAATGACCCCGATTACTGATGGTAAGGCGTAAGACTTAAATGTGTTTTAATTAGAACTTCCATCACTGCATTATGTAAGCTCGTGATTGACTTGGGAAAGATAGTGCTCTGTTTTCATGGGTTATCTCAGCTGAGCCTGGGAAAATGGGCATAATAAAGATCTTTTAAGAGGCTGCTTGGCTTCTAGGATGGTGGGTTGGGTTTTTTTTTTTGGAGAGTAGCATCCCATGAACTGCTATCCAAATGGAACATTCAGAGCTGAGCAGACTCCAGCAGAGATAAATGATGTTGCTATTGCTTGTAACATCACTTGGCAGGGAACTCGCTTTGTCTCCATCTCAGCCTTACAGTTCCCTGTTGAACATGCCCCTCCTCAGCAGCTGGTCTGGTTTTATTTAGATCCCTTCGGTAAGTGTTGGTGTTAGGGGAGGGGACAGGATGTTCTGTGCATTGCAACAGCGATGTTTATTCCTGCATGGAGTCCTGAGGCTGGTCTGGAGCTGGGCCTGGGTACAGGCAAGTGTGTTGTAATCCCAAGCCTATCACCTGATTAGCAAAAAGACATAAATATTGCATGTTTCTGAGAAATCCATTTGTAAGCTGCGTTTAAGCAACATCTTCACGTGATCAGCTGGAAGGAGGTAGTGATACTCTGTTTTGCCAGATTACAATATTTTGTTTAGGATCCTGGTGTGCTTTGCCAGGGAGCAGATCTGAAGCAAAGCAGAATTACTCAAGCTGAGCCTCCTGCCGCAGGAGGTGGCTCTTAGTGTGTTTTGACCAAAGTAATTATTTCATAGCTTCTTGGTGCAGTTGAAAGGCACTGCATTGTGTAGTTCTTTACAGCAGCTCAGGCACTAATATACTCTCTTTAGGACACACTTCTCACCTCTGCTTGGTTTTGTCCCTTTGGGTCTGTCCCATCCACATGCAAAGACTTCCTTTGTCTTTTTCTTCACTAATGACATTGCTCCTTTGCTCTTCACCTGCTTCCAGTTGAGTATCTCGCTGCTGGGCCAGGTTTGGATTCCCAATTTTTATCCCAAACCCCTGGTGTAAGCTCCTGTCATTGAAGTGTGCTTCCTCTTTCCCTCTCTGCACAGCAACCTAAGGGCTCCTCCCAGCTTATTCCCTGATTAGGTGCATCCACAAGATCTTTGTCCTCCACCTTTTCCTGTGCCCGCCATCCCCCTGCTCCCCAGAGGCTGACTGCCATAATTACCCTCTTTCTGAAAAAAACAGCCAAGTAGTACTGAATCACATAAATCACAGTGGAATAGATACTTTAAAAATTGTGCTCTTCTAGACTGAAACCCCCTTCTTTGGTGCCTCGTGTGACACCAAACGTGCTGCTGCCAGTTAATAAAGGTCAGTGCTTAACTCTGAGCTAGACTTGACCTGACCAGTGTGGTGTGCTGTGTAGCATTGAGCAGACTGGGAAATTAGATTTTGCTAGGGTGAACTGGATGGAGAAAAAGAAACTTTTTGGATGTGAAAAACATGTCTACATCCTTTGCAACAGGTTGGTGAATGCCTGTGAGCCCTGGGCTGGTAGCCCTTAGCCCTGCAGTTGGTTTAGGTAAACTGTCAGTCTGGTAGTTGCTGGCACACCTGCAGAGCGACCCCATACAAACATTTTGGTTAAGGATTTTTTTTTTCTCCTGTTTTCCAGGAATTTATTATTCAGGAGGCAAATCTTTCTTGCTGCCATCATTTATATGGTGTGTGACTCCTCTCCCACTTAAGCATGCCACTGCTTCTGACCTGCTCTGCAAGTCCCCATACAATGGCACAAACAGGATTACTTGCGAGGCTTTAAAAAATGCAAGAGCAGTGCATTACATCTGTGTGTGTAGCACTGAAAAGCCCGCAGTAAATGAAGCTTCAGTGAAGCAAGGAATGGCCTCTCTGTGCTGCAAAAATGGTCCCTCTCTACACAGTTCCTCTCTCGGCTCCAAACTGCGTTTTTAGCTCTTGCTTCTCTGTGTTATTTAGCTTTGCCCTCTGGCCACCTTGTTTATTGCTGCGGTATTCCGGGACAGGTAAAAAAAACCCAAAACAAAACACAAAACAAAAACAAAAAACCCAACAGATTCATGCTCATGTGACTGCTCCGATTTCAGAGGGAAGGTATGTGAGGGCAGCCATGTGCTCGCACTATCTAGTTACGGTTTTGTGTTGGGGTTATAGCAACTGGGATATGTTTTCCAGCTGTAAAATGAAAACCCCCTGCCTGCTTTTAGTCACAACAACAAGCATGTTTTGCTCTTGGAGACTGCAATACTTCCTGGGATTAGTTAAACTGTCCCCTCTCTCTGGTGATAGGCACAGAAAAGCTGAGCCAGCCCTGTTTATTTTATTAGTTACGAATAAGTTACGGATAAATTTGGGATCCTCTATGCCTTGTGCAACTTGTGAATCAACAGCAGTAGTTTTATACCAGAGGCTGCAGTGTGGCGGTCCAAAGCTGGTGTGGACACAAGCCGGCCAGCCCTGGTGCTGTCCCCAGACCTCATGCCGTGTCTGGCACACCAGGGGCACTGCCCAGGAAAGTCAAGAGGTGGCTGTGGGCTCTAGGTAGGGATGTGAGCTCCTGTTCTCTGACCCTGCTTTTAGCACCTCTTGCAGGTTGTAAGGCTGGAGGAAGTGTGAGATTAGTAGTTAGTACAATACACCTCTCCCAGCGGTTGTTGACACCTGCTTTGATTCTCAGATCAAGGCTGTGCTAGGCAAGTCTGGTTTGTTCACACACGAGGGTAATTTAACTTCCAAAATCAGATGTGCAGCAGAGTGCTGGATTCGAGCACTGAAGCGCCAGGGTAGGAGGTGCCCTCAGAAAACATCAGTAACTTCTCCCCAGGTTACATGAGCAGAGACGTGGGAAATCTTTGGCATCTCATACAGAGTCTCAGCAACAGCCTGCCCCACGGACAAGCCTGGTTCTGCAGCCAGTGTGAGACTTTGCTCCAAAACCCATTAGAGCACGTGCACCCCAGAGCAACGCCTTTTGGCCTCTAGTCTTGACTCCTCTCTCCTCTAGAAGGGCCTGATTCTTCCCTGTCTCGTATACTGGGGTTGTAGCTGATGATGGGGTTGGAAAGCTAAACAAACCTACGATGGATTATTTTCTTAGCTGCTGGGCACCCACAACTAAGCTGGTACATTGTAATTAGTTCAATAGCATCTGTTAATTAACTTACTGCAGCCAGTGGATGTGTCTGGGAGCGCCTGCTCCAACTAGCAAGGGACTAGGGAGGTTTTGCAAGGTCTCTTGCAGATCGAAGGACCTTTCTGTGGTATCTGCTCTCCTCCTAGGGGCAAACGGTGGAAGCACAGCCCTGTGGCCATGGTCACTCAGCAAAGCCCTTGCAGACGTGGCTAGCTGGTGTGGTTTCACTGAGGGAAGTTGCCTCCTTTGCTTTCTCTAAACCCAGGGGCATGGGCTGGGTTGTTTGGCAGGTGGAGATCAGGAAGGTGGTACAATGCCGCAGACAGTTGCTTGGCCTTGTGACTCTTCAGACCTTCCTAAAGGGGCTTTCCAAGAGCTGCTGAACTCCTGAGCTTCCTTCCTGTGAAAGGCAGGTGGTGGTTTGGGGTGCTTGTTGGCTGTTGAGGGTGTCTTCTGTATTTTACACACACCCACACCCACTCACCCCACCCTACCCCCTTGGTTACCAGAGCCCAGTTACCGATCGCTGAAGCTATTCAAAGAAGGAGCCACGAGGGAAATTGGACTTTGTTCAGCATCCACCATCCACTCACGGCCAGGAATAGGGACCTTGTCTCTTCTAGTCATTGCTTACTCAGTAGCAAATAAATGCTTGCTGGCTGAGAAAGGCACAAATTCTGTAGTCAATTAAGTATTGCATTTGTTGAGTAGACTGGTAAAATACTGCTGGGTAATACACATTTGTGGAGCAGGACGGTGCCATGGGGTTTAGCTGCTGGAAAGTGACTTGTTACTGGGGTCGGCTTGTCCAGCAGCAAGTTTGGCCCTGAACTGTTCAGATGAAGCTGCAGTTGTGGTCAATGACTCCAGTATTTGGCACTTTTTTTTTTTTTTTCATTTCATTGCATCCTCTTCCAACAAGATGATTCTAGCTCTGGTATGTGAAAACACTACTCAATGTTTTCATTTGCCTTTCTTCCCCACAGCAAACAGCGACATAATAAACTGTGGCGCTCACATTCAGACAGTGACCTCTCGGACCATCATGAGCCCATCTGCAAGTCCGGACTGGAGCTGAACAAAAAGGAGATCACCACCTCAGCTGACCAGATCTCAGAGGCGAAAACCAATGACAACCAGCAACCAATGTCTCCCATCTACTCAACTGAGCTAGACAGGGAGCAGCAGCTCCCAGAGGATGCAAACATGATCGAAGAGATGTGTGTGAAGGAGAGAAGGATCCACCTGGAGTTTACATGTCAAGACTTCCACGCTGAGCAGATGGAGGACAAGCTAAACCTGAACAATATCAATAGCTGTACGACAGGATGTTGTGTAGACTCTGTCCCCCCTGATAACTGCCACGCTTCTGAGGCCTTAATGCAACTCCAGCACTCCTTGGAAATAACAGAGTTTCCTGATTTGGCAGTGGACGATCTAGAAAAAGATGCCCTTAAGCCTGATATGAACGTGCACTTGGTTCCCATGGAAGAATTCACTTCGTGCTTAAAAGACTTTCCCCAGTCTCCAAACCAAAATTCCCCGAGCCTCCAACAGAATCCCCAGCCAGAAGTGACAGACCTCAGTACAGACAGGATTGATTTCTTCAGTGCTCTGGAGAAATTTGTGGAGCTTTCCCAGGAGAGCCGGTCGCGCACCTGCTCCCATTCCAGGACAGAGGAGCAAGGGAGTGGAAGGAACGGGGTCTCCAGGGTGCCTGTGCTGGAAGTGCCACCTGCTGCAGATGGGAGTGCAGATGCTCAAAGAAACAGCTCTGGAAACTCTCCTCAGGCATCAGATGATTCTTCCACAGATGAAGAACAACAAAAGGTTAAATCAACTTGCTTGTTTTTCTAGGAGCTGCTGCTTAAATCTGTCTGTGGGTAGTTCTCTTGCTGTGAGGTTGCTGTGGACAGGGGATTTTCTAGCCTTGGTTTTCACTGACCAGGGTAGCTGTTTGGGGAGGGATTGCTAGAAGTTTCCCTTTTTCTTCACTTTTAGATGCTTGCCCTGTTCTGCACTTTTTCCTGAAACATCTCTCTGCTGGCAGTGGCAGGGTACTGGCTGAGTCGACCTTGATGTGACCTGCTGTGCTGTTCTCATGAGAAACTTATTTTTGAGTTTTGCATCAGGAGAGCAGATAGGTGGGACTTGACCCACTAATGCAGCTGAACCCTGAACAGCAGAGGCCAGCCAGCGTCCTGAACCTGTGCAGATATTTATCAGACTTGAAAAATCCACCGAAGAATAGGACAAAACTGGCACCTTTCCCTGGTTGGGAAGTGCCAGCATTGGGTTAGTAAATCAAGGCAGATGTAGAGCTTCCACTGCTGGAAGCAGAGAATGAGCCTTCCAGGCCTGGGGTGATGGATCAGTCACGTCGTGGCTCGCTTCTCTCCTAGGTAGAGAGATGTTTCTGACAATATTTAGTAACCTCTAAATTGAGGTACCTTTCTCTTATAATTGCTTTCCACCCTCTATGACTCTCACAGGAATTGGTAGTGTCCAGGGCCATCATTTTCTGGGAGCTTCTCTTATTTAAATTCCACACTGCATTGCTTGAATCTTTTCTGTCTCCATGTGAGGCAGTAAGGGTCTTCCAAATATAATAGGCCAGTGCTGTCTCTAATGATTTGGCAGAAACTGTCTGTGCCGATAGGGGAGTCTCTCTGGCCATTTTCCTCTGGGAAACCAGAGTGTTTCAGCACTTGGTCATTCTTTATGCTCTATTTCTATTCCTATTCACTCCCATACATGAGCAGAATCTTTCATGTTTTCAGTTCAAAACTGCACTTTTAGCAACATCAGGATTTTTTTGTTAACTGGGCTTTATTTAAAAAAAGGATTAAATTTCCCTTGGAGTTTGTGACAATTAAATAAAAGTTCTTAAATCTCAGTCTAGGTAAAACTGGAGGCTGGAATATGTTAAATGCAGTCCCAGAGACAACAATGCTTTTACATTAGTGATTATGGCACTTGTAATCTATCCGCATGCACTCGCACGTGTGCTTTTTGTTCCTTTGGGGACGTATATTTCCCCATTTCCTTTAAGCTGCTGCCATTTGCTCTATGTCAGCACAGCTGATCCACTTTGTAATTCTCCTGTTTCTGTGTTGCAGGAGATCTCTGAGCTGCCTAGTGCAGGCCACCTCACAAGATCTCACTCAGAAAATGCCATTTCTGTGAAGGAAATTATCACCGAGATTGAGTCAATCAACCAGGGAGCAGGACCTGCCCAGCAGAAAGAGAGTTCAGCCAACCTCACCCAGACACCAAAGAGGAACACGGTGCATGACCTGCCAGTGGAGGCCATTTGGGCATCAGAAAAGGGGGAACAGAGCGAAGGAGCCTGTGCTGGACACCAGGAAAAGGAGAAGGACCCTCTGCAAGCTGAGCAAGAACCTGCCCCCCCCCTGCAACCATCTTCTGGTAAATCAGACCTGGAGAAAAGCAGCCCTGGCGGGGAGCAGCAAGAGCCTCGCAGCTCCATCAACCCTGAACCCAAGTGGTGCCCCGGCTCTGTCCGACGAGCCACCCTGGAGTTCGAGGAGCGCTTGAGACAGGAGCAGGAGCACCAGCACACGTCCCCGGTCTGCGTCTTACCCACCCGCAAGAACTCCAGGAACGACTCTCCTGCTGCCGAGCTCCTGCCTCGGGGGAAGAGCGAGGAGCCGCCCCTGGAGCTGGCTCCGGAGGGTGACAAGGCACAGGGAGCAGGTGCTGAGGAGCTGCTGCTGCCTCCCGAGGAAGAGCTGCCTGCAGACAGACACCTGCCTGCACCCCTTGCCTCCCCTGCGCAGGAGTCCCTGCCTGCAGAGCCCAGCCTGCGGCAGGAGGGAACAGCTCAAGAGCACAGGACAGTGGTCTCATTTGATGGGATGGAGGAGCCATCTCTGCCCTCCCTCCTCCCGAAAAGAGTTGAAATCATTGAATACGCTCCCACGGCCAAGTCTGCAGAGCGCCCCGACGCAAGCTGTGAGCAGGGCGGGCTGGCCGCCGCCATCCCGTCTTTAGATGAAAACTTGAACCCTTCATTGTGCTCAGAGAAGGCCCCAACCTGCCTCAGAACTCTGACGCTGGTAAACCTCTCGCTGCCGGAGCACGCGGTACACAAGCAGGCCGCCTTCACTGTGGGCAGCCCCAGCGAGGAAGGTGGGGGGTTATCTCTTCACCTTGGTGCTGCGTCTCCCTCTACACCTTCGGCCAGCCTAGATCGCTCTCCTTACCCCTACATAATTCACCTGGAAGGCGTCACTGAGCAGAGCACGGGTACAGACGATGAGCCGCTCACGCCCTGTGGCACTGAGGGAGACGCCGCTCTCCCACCCAGGGACAGACCCAAATCCCTCTGCAGGGCGGGGACCGGCACCTCGAGGCAGCTGAGCCACGAGGACTTGAGCAGCCAACGTGCCGAAAACATGGACCTTCTGGACATCTCCTTCCTGTGTTACAGCCTCCCCCGCAGCTCCAGCAGCCACAACGTGGAGGAGCGCAGCAACAGCCCCGGGCTGGTCAAGCAAAGAGCAAAAGAAATAGAGGCTCGGATCCGGCACGCGGGGCTCACCATGCCCTCCCCCATGAAACGCTCGGCCTCCTTGGCCAAACTGAACTGCCTGGGCCTCTCCAAGGACGACTTATCCGAGAGGCAGTCGGCCTCTGCCGATGCCAACCCTGTGCTTCTCACCTGTGTTGCTCTCAGTCGAGGCTTTTGCGGGGGGAGGTTGGAGAGGGGCTCAGAAAGCGCGTGTGGAAAGCATCGCCTTTCCTCCCCGGAGCCCGCTAAGCATTTTGTGGAACAGCTCAGAACAGCCGAGTGCATTGCCCAGAGCAAGCCGGTGGAGAGGCCGCTAGCTCAGTACGCCAAAGAGTGTGGCTCCAGCCAGCAGAGTTTGTTTTCCAGCACGGATCCAACGTGGACTAGCTCCGAGGAGGGTCCTCCACTGCTTCAGGTGCAGGTCCTGGACTCCTTGTCTCCAACTCGAGGTCTGGCTGTCGCACCCCGGCAGCAGCACGGGAGAACTCATCCTCTGAGGAAGCTCAAAAAGACCAATGATAAAAAGCGAACAACCAATCCCCTCTATAATACAATGTGATCCTGAGCCCTCGGCTGTGGTTTCTTACCGAGAACCCGTGGTGTTGCGTTCACGTAAGGGGCAGGTGTAATATAAGGAACATGCACTTTATTGGTTAATTTTATATATATATTGTCATTTTACTGTTCCTGGCGCATGTAGGTGTGGGTTGGTTCTTCTGTGTGTGACTCTGACTGCAGGACTGTTTGGGTTTTTTTAAGTTTTTTAACTCAGATAACCTCAAATGTTCTTTTTTTGTTGTTGTTAGTTTGTTTTAAAAGAACACCTTTAACATGCGAAAATTTGATGTTGGCTTGCTTTGGCAAGGTGGAGTTTTGCTTAGAACCAGATCCTAGTTCCTAACTTGAATTTTCCCCATGCCTTGAAATGGTGCTGGGCAGTTGTTGGGGTGAGAGCCCCCATAAATGTGAAGGCTGTGCCAAGGTCCCTTTGGCCTTTCTTTGGTTTCTATAAACTGGAACTCCACGATGCTGGCAGATCACTCACAAAGCTGCTTCAGGACAAACCCCCAGGCTCTGTTCAGCTGGTGCATCCCCAAAAGGAGCACACAGGGGTGAATCCTCCTGACGGATGGGCTCTGAGAACCCGGGGCAGCCTGGCACCGAGCTCAGCGCTCGCCTCCTGCTGTGGGTCGTGCAGAGCCCCCCCGTTTTGTGGTGAGGTGGAGCAGAACTCCTCCACAAAACTGCCAAGCTCACCTCTCCTTGGCTGTCCCAGACCTGCGGGTGAGAGGAGGAGAGCCCCCAAGCCAGTGTGTTCTTTTAAAACAAACGCCTCGTTAGGGTTTTAACCCTCCCATTACTTGAATACTGCTGTGGGCCTTCCAAGTTCATGGCCATATCATCTGTCCTCGGCCCTCCTGCTGCCTCTCCTCTGCCTGAAAGCTGTTCTTGTCTCGTGCTGCCTGAGTTTTCCTCTTTTCTTTGCCACACTCACAGGCACTTCTGGTCGCTCCCAAACCTAGAGGTTGATTGTTACACGACATATTGCCCCTACTGAATGCAAAGCTTTGTCCTCTCTGCTGTCACTCCTAACACTCAACCCAGAGGGAAGGTCTTTTCTGGAAGTTTTTTTTCTTTTTTTCTTTTTTTTTTTTTTTCCCTAAATTGTATATATGGTATTTATATAGATTTTTTTTTTTGTCATTTCTATGGGTTTTTTTTAAAAAAAAGGGCAAGACTGAATTCTGTAAACTGGAAAACAAAACCACCTTACTCAAACTCAGTGCTGTTCATTGTAATCTGCACAGAAATGGGAGTGGATTTGATGTTGTAAGCTGTCTTCCCTTTCTAAAAGTGAGCCTTGATGCCAGCCTTTGCCAAACGTGTCCCTTCTCCAGTCCTGCGTGAACCCCCATTACCCCACTGCGGGAAGAGCACTGCAGCTCTGTCTGTCTCCCTCCCGCTTGAAGCTGGGTTTCAGAAGTGCCAGCTGGACATGGGAAAGCTGTTGGCTGCTCCGAGCCATTCTGCAGTTTCTTGCTTCCCTGGAGAACCTGTTTGAAGACTCTTCTCCAAATTTTATCAAATTATTTTATGGTTCCCAAGCAGTTGGGCTAAATCAAAGCTCCTTATTTCCAGCCGTGCATGTCAGCAAATTGTGTGTGTGCTGTAGGAGCAGAGAGAAAGGCCCTTGGCTGTACAGCCAGGAGAGCTCTGGGTCCTGTCTGCAGTCCCGTGGCAGGTCTGTGGCAGAAGAGCGTGTCTGAGCTGGTGCTTGGCTCTGGCCCAGACCTGCCCTCCAGGGAGGAGCAAAGCGGAGAGAAGATGCAGAATGGCTCCAGCTGCTGAAAGCCCAAGCATGGGGAGGACGCGGTGTGGGACGAGCAGCAGACAGGGCCGTGCCTAGAAAGCAGTGCTGATGCTGCAGAGCCTTGCGAGCTCTGATGGGGCAAACTTGTGTTGAGTGCACAGCACCGGAGTGCTCTGGAGTATTGGGAAGCAGCGTGCGCCTGCCCTGGGGAAGGAGTGTCCATAACCCCCCCAGCTTGCCCGCAGCCCCTGGCAGAGGATAGCCTAGCAGTTTACAAAGTAATCCCACCTCACTACCTTCCTGTAACTCCCAGAGCTCCTCCCGCACTGCCTGGCAGAGCCTGTGTGCCCTCAGCCTGGGCACGGGGCCGTGAGCGTCTGTCTGTCCTTGTCCAGCAGCATCGTGCCCTTCGTCCTTCCCTTTCCGAGGAGCCTGAGCCCTGCCGGGGGGTTGTTGCCCGTGCTAGCTGCAGGCTGGAGCACAGCCCGAAGTAGCCCAGCAGGGCCCTGTCTTGGGTCAAATAGCACGTCGTCCCAGGCCATTTCAGTCACTAGAAGTCACCCAAGTCCCTGGCCCAGGTTGCCAGATACTTCTTTGGGACACTGAAAAACATTTGGCTTCTCCTAGCCCACTCCAGCTGGCTACAGAGCTGGGCAGGCAGTGTGGAAAGGCCAAGTGGCTCATATCATCTTGTAAAGGACAATTTCAGTCCTTGCCTCGCCCACAAACCTCACCAGACCCCACCACCCACCATTCCTGCTCCCAAGGACATGTCTGCATGCCCCTCTGCGGGCAGAAGGGACGGGGTGCTGCCAAGCCTGCCCTGTGTTGGGGGGAGCAGGCTTGGCTGGCAGCGTGTCCTGGTGACAAGGATCTGCTTGGGAGGGGAAAGCCCTGTATATAATTTGTTCCCTTGAGAAGGGAGGAGGAAGAAGATTAGGTTTCTTTACCCAGTTATTCCTCGGGAGAAATACCCTGTAGGAAGGCTCTTCCATGCAGACCAGAAATGCTGCTTCCTTCCAATACTCTGCTGCTGTCTGGGTGCTTCAGCTGGGGAGAGCGGCAAAGGGGCAAATCCCCTGGCAGGGAGGTGCTTTGCTCTGCCCTTGTCCTCATGCTGGCCCAGTACAACTGTGGTTTTTCCCTGAGAAGCCTGCAGACGGGCGGAGGGAGTTGGGGAAGGCGGTTCTCTTGCAGAGTTTAGGCGGTTTTGGAGGTCTGGAGGCTCCGACGTGGGCAGCAGAAAGGCTGGAGGGACGTGTCACATGCAGCTTTGCGGGGGTCCTGGGGCCTCCTTGCTGGGGCAGTGGAGCCACCAAGTCCCTGGCATCAGAGGGCTCTGCCTGGGGACTCTTGTCCCTTCTCCATGCTGGTGGATCATGGGTGGGTGGTGGCTCGCTCCTGGTCCCTTTGGCCACCCCACGAGAGCTTCTTGTGACCTGCTGAGCACCACGGGGAGCAGCACCTCCAGGATGCTCAGCAGCTGACAAGCCTCACTGATAGAGGGGTTTTAAGAGAAACCTGTTGTTCTAAGGGCATTTTTGTACAAAGCAATGGTTCTTTTGGTCTCTTGCAAAGCCCTCTCGGAGGACGCTTTATTGTTTACATTGACTCCTGTACGATATCTCAGCCATCGCCTCCCCCCTTGCCCGCCCCGACTCGGCTGTACTGTAACGGAGCCTTGCACAAATGGATAGCGTGTGCGTGAAACTGGTTTTTACACTGCGTTCTGTTGCACTCGGTGTGCGTGCGTGTGTGCGTGTGTCCGGTCTGCTTGAGAAGTTGTGACATGTACAAATCTCTCCCTTTTCAACCCCTTCCTGGGGGCACGGTCCCAGCGGGTGGCAGGAGGGTCAGGAGGTAACGCTGCTTCTGGCTCCCTCGGCTGTTCCGTGGGGCAGGGATCGGCTCCGTGTCCCTCTGCCAGCAGACGCCTGGTGGAGGGGATCCCACCCCAGCTCCGGCTACTCCAGGGACCTTCTGGGAGGAATGAGACGCTGGGAATTGGCACAGGCACCGGGGCCCAGCGGCTCCCAGAGCTCCCCAGCTCTCGCAGCCCAGCAGCAGGAGGAAGCCATACCCGCCGCAGGTCCCCTGCACCCATCGTGGTGCGTCCTGCCTTAATCTGGTCCGAGCTCCACACCAGCGCCAACACTTCTCCCTAAGGGAGGGACCCCCCGAGCCCTTGCTGGCGTGGGGCAGAGGCAGGCGCTGGCCTTGGCGCAGGAGGGGTCTGGGTCACCCTCCAGCAGTGCTGCCAGAGGTGCGAACAGCCCACCCGTACTGCAGACATCTCTGTTGGCACAAAAGGAGGTGCCGGTGCCTTGTATTTTCCTGTGTGGACATGTGACGTCTGCGCGCTGGCTCGTCGGGAGCGCTGCAGGACCGGGCAGTTTGGCCGCACCGTGTCCTGAAGCAGAAGCCCTCGGGGACGGCTGGCGGTGGAGTTGCAAACCGGGGAGGGGAGCGCTTCTGTCTGCCCCTCCTGGATCTTCCTTGGTGGCTGGGATTGTCCCCTTTCCCCCTAAAGACTTTATGACCGATGTGTTCCGCTGTTTTTAAATGTGAACTTGTGCACTGATGTGCAGATTCAATGTTCTTGTTACCGAATGAATAAAGTTTTATTTTGAAGATGATTCAGGTGTGCTGCCTCCTGCTTGGGACTGGGGCTGGTGTCAGAGCACGGGGCAGCAGCAGGGCTCCGGGGAGCCAGAGCAGGGTTGGTCACTCATGTCCCCTGCCCAAAGCATCGATGGACCCATCTTGTCCCAAGTGACCTGTGCAAGGGCCAAGGAGCCCCGAGCAAGGTGCACTCCCAGCTCCTGCTTCAGTTACAGGGAAGATGTCAGGGTTGTGTGTGTAAAACTGCTGGGTGCCCTCGCTGCAGGGAGGGTCCTGGGGTTTAAGCTCTAAGGAGTATGCGAGGGTTTAGCTTGACCGTGGCCCACCCAGGAGCTGAGCCAAATCCAAGCCCGAATAACCACAGCGTGAGGGGATCTGTGCTGGGAAACAACCCATCTCGGCTGAGCTGGTTTTGCTCCGTTGTGGGGCTGTGCTGGGAGGGGACCAGATCCCCAGGAGCTCAGCCTCACCCTCCCTGCACGAAGCTTCTCGCTGCGCCAGGACCGAGCGAGCACCAGGGCATGGCGGGGCCAGCTGTGTCCCTGGGGTGCCCTGTCCGTGTCCCCCCCTCATCACCCACTGGGGAAAGGCTTCCCAGGGCCTTCCCTCCACTTGCTGGGACTGTGGTTTGGAGGTGGGGACATAGGACATGGGGTTCACACAGTCCCCGCTCTCCAAGGGCAGAGTGGGATGGGGCAGGCAGGGGGTACCACTGCAGCCCCCTCGCTCCCTGCCCCCCTTTGGCCGGGCGAGCAAGGATGTCACCTTTGCCCTGCCTTTTTGCCTGTTGCCCGCTCCTGCCCAGCTCAGCCAATGCTCGTCCGGCGCCGCTCGGTGCCCTTGTAGGGTCCAGGGCTTTGCTGCCTTTCCAGGAACCACGGCTCCCCTCCCACGGCTCCCCGAGCCCTACAATCCCTTAATCCCCTTGGGCCAGGGCATCCCCGCGGGGCTGGGCTCTGCTAAATCCCAAATCGGGCTTTTGAATGTGCCCGTAACCATCCCGCTGCGCAGGGCTGGGGCTGACGTGGGCTCACCCCTCCCTGGGTTTGCAGCCCCCTTGCTCCCGGGGGGGGCGGTGGTGAACCCTTGGGGTGCCCCCGGGGCCAGCCCGTGTCTGTGGGCTCTGTGGGGGTGGCCCCAGGGTGCAGGGGGGGGTGTCCAGCAGCAGCCCCGTGTCCCAGTTGAGCCCTGGGCAGAGGTGACCCCCGGGGTGATGGCAGCCTGGAGGAGGGGGGGCGAGAACTGACCCTCCCCTTGCTTTCCCCCGATATTTTAGAAAGACGCTGGCGGGAGGGGGCAGAGGGGGCGCACACCCCC